TGCCCCAGGCAGCCGAGAGCATTTCCAAGTGTGACTGACTGCCCGCCTCCCTCTCCCCATGATGAGGCATCACCCGCTCAGCCCAGCAGACCCCTGGCTCTGGGGGCCACTTCTTCAGGTCTCCGCCTGAAGCCTGAAGTTGAAATGTCCCTCTGTCACTATTAGAGGTGATTGATGGGCCCATGGAACCAAGTTTTTCAATGTTTGTGTTTTACCAGAGCTCCCCTGTGTGATGTACCCCATGTGTGTGTATTTTTAGGCATATATGTGTATATATATATATATATACATTGGATGAAGCTGCAGTGTGCTCAGCCTGCATCCGGGCTTGTGAAATTAAGACAGTGGCAAAGCCGCCAGCCAACCACACCATTTAAAAGCAGAGCGCTCACCGCTTGGGCTAATCTCTCCTCTGGTTGTGAGCAGGGTGAGAAGAACCAAGATGCTCTCCTCTGGGTCCTGGAACAGATAACAGATTTGCTCAGAGTACTGATGGGGCTACACCCAGACTTCCCGGCCTGGAGAAGCCACCCCAGGCAGAGGGTAGACTCACAGATAAAATGTAGCTTCTCTCCCCCGCCCCCTCTTCTTCTGCTCCACCCTCTCAACTAAAACCAACCTGAATGCATTGCACAATTCGAAGGAGGATCTGGAGAGCTATTGAGGGCACCTAGCTCTCCTAAATGCAACGTATTCACGTGCTTAGTGTGAATTCTATGCATGGATGCTCAAGTGTTAATAATAAAATCTTTTACGATTTCTGCTGTGTGCAAGACAAACGACAAGATTTTGAATGACATTCTGCAAACTGCCACACAGACCTGAGTCCTGATGACAGACCTCTTCTCTAAGGACCTTCGCTAAGGAGCCTGGGAGCAGCCTCCAGCAACCTGCCCGGCAGGGGGGTTTCCCAGCCTCTCAGGCCCACACGGGGAGTGGGGAGGGGGGAGAGAAGCAGCCTGGACAGAGACAGACCCAGCCATTGATTTATTGGGGGTTTGTAAAGCCCTGAAGGTGAACCTCCTGGGTTTCCAACCTGCTCTCTAGAGTTACAAATTAAACCCGTGTAAGCTGAAGGGCCGCATTCCGGAAGGCTTGCGTTCAGACCACGTTAGCAGCCTCACTGTGCTTTCATTTTTGTGTTTGTGTTGGTTTTTTGCTCACAAACATGGCTAAGCCACCCGAAACAAAGAGGAAAAATGTGAACTCCTCACAGCCAACATCAGCTAAGCCAGATTTCAGTCTCCAAACAGGCCAACTTATAAATAAACAGGCCGTGTTTGCCAAATAGAGAGGCGTGTGTTGGAGACGGCAACGTGGACTGGTCTGGTCGAGAGAGCGCCCGGCTCTGTGGGGAGTCAGAGGCAGGAGCTGTAGCCCCAGGCCTGTGCCCCAGGAGCTGTGTGACGTGAGCCAAGTCACCCAACCTCTCTGGGCCTCTGAGAAATAAGGGGGTGAGAAAACAAATGGACCTGAGGTGGGAATATACTCCTCTCCTTCGCAAACAGCCTCTCCGGTTCATTTTTCGTTTGGTTTTCAGCTCCCACAGCAGCTCAGACCAAAGCATCCCTTTCTTTTCCAGTATCTTCACAGGGCGACCGACGCGTTCTAGTTCTACCACTGAGAGTCCTGTGTCCCAGGAAACCCCTCAATGGGGGGGACACTGGCACAATGAGTCTATCCTGACCCATTGGCTGAAGAGATAATGTTACTAATTTCGAGCATTTTAGAGTCTTGGACCTCGCTCTTCAACATGTGACCCATACAGGGATCCCCTGGGGTAGTTGGGAAGGCAGAGCTCCTGCCCAGATGCCTGGAGCAGGAATCTGCATTGGAGCAGCGCCCCGGGTGACTCACCGTGAAATGAGAGCAAGCGGGAGAAGCACTGCTAGGAGGTAGTTTTACCGACAGGACCGCAGCCCGTTGGGGAATATTATGCCCCCATTTCCCCGATGAGGACACTGAGGGTCACACAGGTGGTTTGCGGCCTTACTTACTCATTTTGGTCCATACTCATTAAACACCTACTGTGTGCCAGGCAGCATTAAGTGACTTGCCCAATGCGCACAGTGGGAAGTACAGTCCAGACAATCTTCCAAACCCGGGTCTTCAAGTTGCCATCTGCTGTTATGCCCTGTGGACCATGGGGCTGCACCAGAACCACATGGCCATGGTTTAACATGGGCGCAGGCTGTAGATTAAACAGGGGCCTCCCAGGCCTGTGGAGAGCCTCAGTACGCACAGCGATGACTTCAGATACACACTCTTGGCTCTTGGAACTGCGAGCTTATCATCTATTTATTTCCACACCCCAGGAGCTTGAAAATGTCCTCATTGTTGCTGCCTCCTCACAGCACCCCCCACCCCCCTGTAGATTTGGAAGCACTCTCCATAAGCCTTCACAGAACACCAAGGCCAGGCCTCTCTGCTATTTATCTTCTTGAATAGAAAAGAAGACAATTAATTACTTCCTTAGCCACAGAGGGGGAGAGAAGGGAAGTGGGAAGGGAGAGAATGCTCATCTGAGTTGCAAAAACCAAAGAGAACTTCTTTGGGGGACGATTTTTCTGATGTTCTTAAAACATTGTTACATTTGGTCTCTAGAGATAGCGAAACCATGTCCATAGTTTCCCACAAAGCGAAAGCGCCGGGAAAGAAACATCTGAATAGAGGCCAGTAACATTTCATCACACAGTCCCAGCCCTGGGTTAGAACCTTCCCGCCAGCTTCAGTCTCTCCTCTTCAAAGTTTTGTGGACCACCACCCGCCCCTGCAACCCCCGCCTCCCCAGATATTGTCACCACCAGGGGATCAGGTGGAATGTCTAAAAGGTATAATATAAGACTCACCATGTCCAGCTGAGAAAAGTCTGGATACCCTATATAATAAAAGCCTAATATGCTAAGTGTCAGGTCGTTCTGTCATCCGTTCAACCAATCAAAGTGTAATATGTTAATGATATGCTAAGGCCACTCAACCACTCGCTATGACCTGCACTGACCACCAGGGGACAGACAGTTGACTGGATGACCAGTCGCTATGATGTGTACTGACCACCAGGGGGCAGACGCTCTGACCGGTAGGTTAGCTTGCGGCTGGGGTCCAGCCAATTGGGGCAGAGCAAGATGGGCCAGACATGCCCTGGAGCCCTCCCACCATCCCACTCTGGCTGGCAACCTCCTGCATCCCTCCCTGGCCCTGACTGTGCACCGGTGGGGTCCCTTGGCCTGGCCTGCACTCTCTCGCAAT